AATGATTTTTTTAGTCTTTTGACTTTTATTAATGATTTTTTTGATAATGTAATTTCATTACAGGAAATGTACAATTGGTTATATGTATAAGTTTTTTATATTACTTATTTAAAAAGTTTGTCTAAAAGTTTACTACTAATTGCTATATCTAATATCTTTGCTTGAGTATTTTACTTTAAATTCTCTAAACCTGTAAGCTGTATTAATATTAAGTTATATTTAGATGTTTTTATAAGATTTTTTATATTATTATTAAGCCTAATATTTATAGTAACTAATATTTTTATTTATGTTTTAATTAATATATTATATATTACTTATCTCTTAAATTGTAATACAAATAAATTTATTTGTATTAATTTTTTTAAAATTAATTTTTATAATAAAATTTTAATAATTAATTTTAGCAATATATTTTTTAAGTAAAAAATATTTTTAAAAACCTATTTTATAAATTTTGTTAAGAAACTTTTAATTTTATTAAAAAATTTTTAATTAATTAAAGTTTAAAGATTGTGTAATATTAAGCTTTACTATTAAAATAATTTCAAGTTTTCTAAAATTTTATATATTTTTGAAGCTAAAAAAATTTTTTAGTCTTAAGACAAATATTAATTTTTATATATAAATTATTAAACTAATAATAATTAAAATTGTAATTTTTAATATAAACTAAAAAGTTGTATTAACAATTATAAGTTTAAAATTAAAATTGTAATTTTTAATATAAACTAAAAAGTTGTATTAACAACTATAAATTTAAAATTAAAATTTAAAAAGTTTATTATAGATAGATTAAAAAAATTTTTTATTAAAATTTTTTTTAAAATTGTATATTTTTAGTTTATAATTAACCTAATTTTTTTTCTTATAATTTAAAAATAAATACTGTAAAAAAATAATCTTTATTTTCAAATATTATTATACTAAATTTTATTTATATATTTTAACAATTTAAAAAAGTAAATTAGAGCTAAAAAAATGCAAAAAGATAGGCAAATTTGCTTATATTAGTTTACAATTTAAGAAATATAAGATAAATATACAATTAGTTATATATATATATATGTAATTTTTGATTACCTATTTAAATATTTTATTTTTAGATTCTATACTAGTTATTATACTTGTAATTTATTAAATAATTATTTATTTAAATATTTTGATTTTTATATTATGTCTAGATAGTAATTATTTTAATTTTTATACAACTAAGTGTTGTTTAATCTAATGTTTAATTTTTTTTTGTATGTTTATTAAATTATTGCCTATTTTAAAGCATATTATTTAACTGTATAATTCAAGATGTTTTCTTGTTAACTAATTTATTAATTTTATAAAACATTAACAAAACTAGTTCTTGCAAAATTTATTCAAATTTTGGCATCTATTTTATAACATATTTCTAGTATTTTTAATATGCTTTTTTTTTTTTTTAAACTTTTAATCCAAATAGCCTAATAGGACTACAATAAGTTTATTAGTATATTAAGTTAATCTAATATTTTTTTTGGTTTTTTTGATTAGAATTTTGATGACCTAATTAGTATAATTAGTAATACTTTTTACTTAAAAGTTTTTGTTTATTTAGATATTTTATATTAGTATCTATTTTTTAGATTTAATCTTTATAGTGATAAATATTTAAAATTTAAATATTTTAAATCTAATTATACAAAAAGAAATTGTATATAAAACTAAAATTAACTTATATTAAAAAACTAAAAGAAAACAATATTAATAAAATTTGCAATTGCTAGTTAAGAAGACAAATAATTTATTTAGTCAAATTGTATTTGGATTTTTAGTCAAATAAGTTTTATTAAAATAAATAACATATATAATTGTTGCATTAAAATGTAATATTATAATTTGAATAAATCAAACCAAACCTGCTAAATTTAAAAAAATAGTTACAATACTATAGTAAATAAGTGTATTATATATATTTAATTTTTGTTTTAGTTTTAAAATATATTTCAACTTTGAGTTTTAACAAAACCATATATATATATAATTAGTAGTAAATATTACCAATAATATGTAGTAATTTTTTTATTTTAATTCTAAATTAGATTAATTTTAATATTATATAAAATTAAATTTTGTTTATAAAAATCTTATATACAAAGTTGTAAATTATTTATATATTAATATAATTTTTTTTTAATATATATATATATTTTTTAATATACGTTATATACGTACTATTTAATAAATTTATTTAACTTTTTTTAGTCATTATTGAAAATTTTTTATGAAATGTTAATCTAGTAAATTGTTACAGTGTTTTTAATATTGGTTAAAATAGTTTGTTATTTTAGGTTTAGAAACCAAAAATCAATTAAATTTTATTTGATGATAAAGTTTATACAGTATGTATATAATATAAACATAAATTTAAAATAAAAATAAAATATAAATAAAATTTATTAAAAAATAATTATTAACAAAGATTTTTTTACTTGTACTTCATACATTAATTTAACGATCTGCCTAAACTAAACAAATTAATTCGGGTCAAAAAATCGAAAGAGCGATATATGAAAAGAATGTAAATCGAGACGTTAAAAATTTTAACGTTAAGTTTTAATTCAGGTATAAAATATTTTATTGAAGTATATACAGATACAGTATGTATAATATAAAATCGATATAAATGAAATTTGATTTCTTTTTAAAATTTATACGTACAGTACAGTAAAATGATTAAAAAAGCTAAATAAAAGAAATTCAATTTAAAAACCCATTATAGAAAACAACAAATTTAAACAGTTTGTTTATATTTATTATACATAACGATAATAGCACAATAACCGGCGATTTTAGAATGTATAACATTCTATATAAAATTCCAAATTGTTTGGTACGTACGTACGTATAAAACTTTGTGAGATCCAATGATAGTAACCAAAGCCTCGGCAACAGAAGTAGGGCACAGAAGTAAGCACAGAAGTAGGCACAGAAGTAGGCCACAGAAGTAGTAAACAGGAAAAACCATTACCCCAACCATTTACAAATACTATATATCGATATACTAAAAATACTACTATGAAAACCTGAGATAAATTAGAATTAACCGGAATATGTTTTCTATAATTTAGCCCGTTGGTAGGAACAGATTTCAAAGGTGACAAAGGTGAAACCATAATAAATATTTCACGCAAGAATTTTTTTTAGTATCGGAAAAAAAATAAATATAGGACAAATTTTAAATAAATAAATAATGATAAAAAACGATAAAAATCAAATATAATAATAAAATAAAATAATCTAGAACGAATCGTCATTTATCGAGGATACAGTATGTGTGACCAACGGATTGGGACATAATACGTGTACGTACATGTGTAAATATACATATGCATGCATTTCTCGGTGATAACTAACCATCACTTCATAGCCACCTATCACCACCTGATTTCTGTTAAATACGAAAACATTCGAAATTTCGGATTACACAGCAACATGTTTAATATTTAGTTTGACAAAGTATGTAAGTTGTAAGTAAGTTGTAAGTAAGTTGTAAGTTGTAAGTAAGTTGTAAATGTTGTAAGTACTTACGTACATATGTACATTTTGGTAATTTTGTACATACAATCGAATCTTTAAGTTTATTTTATTTTAGAAAATCGTACCAAATTAAAGCAAGCTTCAAAGAGTTATATATCGACCGGGTAGGCATATCAACAATTAACTAAAGAAACAATCGACAGACAATTTCAGATAATTTTCATAATAATACAAGAGAAAATTTTTTACAGAAATTGTGGCGAATCTTGGTGAACTATTTCTAAAATTAGATCATGAATGATATTTGTTTTGGAAGATAATTGAGATATGATAAGTGAGTATGTAAGTACAAACTAAATTCTCGTGCGATTGATAAGCGTGTGATGAGAGGGGAGTACGGTTGTGCATTGAATCGGGTGTCATTTAGGGGATGTGGCACTGGTGAGAGGCTTTTTTTGGATTGATATTATTTACTAGCAGACATAAAGGGTTATCTCATCCCGACTTTTCCGCGGACACCCAATTACGAAATTCTTGATTTTTAATATCCATCAAAAAAAAAAAAAAAAAAAAAAGCTACGTATTTTTTTTTTTTTTTTTTTTCTCTTGACTTAAAACGGATTGATTTTAAAATAAATGAAACTTACTCCTTTACTTTTTTATTACTTTTTTATATTTTATGATAATGTATTAATTTTCCGTAATTAACAAATATATTTGATGTACTTCAAAATAGTTCATCACGGATTTCCACATTAAAAATTCTAACTTCTCTTAGTCAATAAAGAAAAAGGGAAGAAATTTATAAAGAATGCTGGATGGTCTGATGTGTGTGTGTGCCACCGTGTAGTATTGTCTGTTTTTGTCTTTAAACTACTATTTATATTGTCATTTGATGACTTTCAAATATAAAGCAAGACGCGACCCCGACTCTGGTCTTTCCTTATATGGATAGCAATTGCATGCTGTGACGTTGCACATCACTTTTTTGACCAATCAACGTGCGAGCAGTAAAGGTTTGGAGACAGCATGAAATCATTTTCTCTTTTGAAAGAGGCAGCCGGCTTTTTGTCTTGGAAAGAGGACACACACACAAGCCTTTCCGTCCAGTATGTTCCAAACCAAAACCCCTCACAACATACAGAATAAATACAACCATACAAATGAATTACGTCTGCGTTGCAAAAAAAAATCATCTATACAATTCATTATCTCGGACTATCCCCCGTAATTTTCTTCCCACAGAATAAAAAAAAAAACTTTACTTGACATCTCTTAACTGACCTGTTGTTCCCTCACGTACCCAAAGATTGTTGCCTGTACTATTTGACTACTATTTGTTATAATACAATCAATAAATACTTACCACTTATCCTACCCCCAAAATACTTTCTCCCCCTTTTAAAAAAAAATATTAAAGCCTTTCATCTCTTTCCAAATCAATCTATCCTCCGTACTACTTCCTATTATACTCTTTATATTCAGTCATGGCTCAAAACCATTCCCACTCTAGTAGGGGAAGACATGTTTCGTCTCACGAAAATGGTGTCGTTCCTCATGAAAGATACCAAAAGTTAAAGCGTAGGGTTTGTGACATGCAAACTGTAAGTAGTCCTGTTTGTAATTAATAAATATATTGAATGCCCATGTGTCTATATAAGGCTCAACGATCCCGTAAGGAATGTTTCTTTGTGGGTTGTGTCAATTGCGAAGCGTTCTTAAACTTGACTCCCTCCAAGTTTTCCGACTACACAAGATGTTGTCTGAGGCTTGGTGTTTTCCCTTTTACTTTTCTTTCTCTATTACTATTGCTATAATATGCTATTATATGTATTATAATATGTATTATAATATGTACTATAATATGTCCCGAGTTATTCTCGAGTTATTTCTTGAGTTATTCCTTTAAGTCCTCTATGAACTCTTGATAACTTTTCGGTCTTTGGAAGTTATGCTTGCTTTTATTGCTTTCATTACTAATACTGATTGATTGCGCAGTAATTCTTTTTTTATAAAAGCTTACCAACTTTTTTTATATTAATCTCATACTAGGATCTTGATAAAGTTTCAAAAGAACTTGATAAAGTCTCCAAAGAACTCGACAGGTCACGTAAACGGATCAAATCCCTTAAAAGAGAAAAAGAGTATGTAACTTTAATGTTTTTAATGGGGTTTTTTCCCTTATATTCATTTCAATTTCTAACGATATATTTTCAACTCTTTCTTTCATGTAGGTTGTTGTTGGATCGTATCAGCCGGTATGTGACTGACTCTTCTGATTCTGAAAAATCAATTGAACTCTCATCCGAGGCTTCATCAGATTCTGATGGTAAATATTCTATTTTTACCCCTCATTTATTCTTCTTTTATTCTTCTTTTATTATTTATAAGATTATCAATTAATATTCTGTCTATTTAATATTTTACAGCATCTTCGGCTCAACAATCTAGAGCGTCATCTATCATGCGTCAGATAAAAAAACCTCGCGGGCGTATTTCAAATAAAAAATCTTCTCCTCCCACGCCCGCAAATAATATTGTGAATACCGTTCCCATCCCCCATTCTTCTGGGAAGGTTACAAAGAAGCGTGCTAGTAAACGTCCACTCAATGCTAAAACCATGAAAGTCCAACATGTTGAAAAGGATGATGAAGGAAGGTATAAACTTCCTGTTCAAATTGGTATATTGACCGTATTGAGTCTTGGTACCGTCGTTTTTGAACGTGATACTTTTCACAATGAAAGATACATTTGGCCTGTTGGTTATGCCGTTAAAAGGTATACTTTTTATTTGATTTTTTTTTTTTTTTTAATTCATTTATTCTACTTGAATTTTCCTTTCTTAAACTTTCTTTGATATTTTTTATAGAGCTTACAATAGCATGATTAATGCTGATAGTCAAACAATGTATGTCTGTAGAATTGAAGATGGTGGTGAAGGTCCAAAAGTATGTTATTTTAAATTATTATTTTTTAAATCAAGTCTCATAATATTGGTTATTAATTATCATTACCTTAAAATTAGTTTGTCATAGAAGCTGAAGACCAACCTGATAAACCTATCATAGCGAATACGGCGACCGGTGCTTGGACTTCGGTCGTTCGTGAAGCTAATGCTATTCGTCATCGTGATCACTCTAACTCTGCTTCTGGTCCTGACTATTTTGGCTTTTCACAGGCAACTATTAGAAAAATGATACAAGATTTACCTAATGCTAGCAAGTGTAAAAATTATGTGGAACAACATTTTGAAGTCATGAAGACAAGGAATGGTGGTGGCAGACGTAGGGGCACTGGTGCTCGTACCACTACTAATGGTAGAGCGAATGGTGCCGTTGAGTCTCCAGTTTCCACCGCTCCTCAAATAACTGAAGAAAATGGTGTCGAATCAAATAGTAGCAATGGTGATGGTGATGTTGCTATGTCTAATTCTGGTGAAGGAGAACTGGAAAGTGAAGAGTAAGATATGGTTGATTTCATTTAAATTTACTTTTGCAGAGCTTTACTCAGTGTTGGATTTATATTTGGTATAATTCTCTATTTGTGTAAAGATTCTTTTTTTTTTTTTTAATCTTTTTTTTTGCGGTGAATGTTTCTTTTTTTTCTTTTTGTTTTGTTTTTTACTTACATCAAAATTATTTAGTTTTATATTTTTGTTTCATATGCAACACGCTATTTTGTTAGATTATTTTCTTGTACTTAGTCACGTAGAATATGTTTCATTATTATCGAAACATTTTATATATACATTATTTTGTGCATGTAGGTTTTAAACCTTTCATACATATATTACTAAGGTAAATGTCCCTTTTTTTTCTTTTTGTTGTTGTATTCGATTGCAAATTTGCAGTTGATAATGAGTGGTTAATAAATAATTATTTGGGACTCCCAATACATCTGTGTTAATATTTTTGTAATACTTAATTATATTTTTGATTTATAATTTTATATTAACGTAATTGTCGAATAAACGAGAAATACAGAAATCATGATTCTTATAATTTTATAAAAAATTTTAAACTAAATTTGCTTACGTATAACTTTTTATCTAATTTTTACCGATCTTACTATACATCCATCGATTTGGTTTTTTATATAATAATTATATAATATATTGATCTATTTTAAATAATTTTACAACCCTCATGGGATCTCGAGATATTCGCGTGTCAAATAATGACACACTTCCTACCATGTCCAACCGATCATTCCATAGTAGGAAGTGCGTCACTATTTGACACATGAATATCTCAAGATCCTGTGATTAGATTTGGATGATCTTAGGCTTGTTAGAATTCGTCTCATCATGACAAATATTTTGGTTGTAAATTTATTTAAAGCAGATATTTAAAACAGATCAATATATAAAAGGTTATTACAAAAATAATTACAAATATTATATATTATAGAGTTCCGATCCGGATAAATCCATCCATATCTGAATTTATCCGGATATCCAGATAATCTGACAAATATCAATAGTAAAACGGATATCCGGACAAATTCAAATCTGGATATCCAATAGACAAATGGATAAACGGATAATGGATAGGAACTCTAATAAAGTCGGTGGATATGTATTACATAGAATCACAAAAACTAGCTCCTATATTATATGTATCGTTATATATTTTATTAATACAAATTCTCGTTTACAACTTTATAGAAAAGTCAGACATTTCTATTATTTATAAAACTTTGAGTAATAGATGCCATAAATTTATTAGTCTAATGGATAACTTAATTTCAAACAAAGATTTCAAAATAGAAAACTTTAATTAATTCACTATTTTACATTCTATACATTAATAACTCTTGATAATTTTTGAATACGATTCAACAGTATATCTCCTTGTTTGATTGTTTGCTGATACTTTGCATTCTTAGCATCCGGTCTATTTGTTTCCACAATCCCATTCACTTTATCAATAACACAATTAAGACGTCCGGCTGCAATAAATTTGGAAAGATCACTATTTTGTAATTAAAAGGTTCATCATTAGTATTATAATTATTTCTAAGTATAAATTATTATTAGTAATCTTTCTATTATTTTTATTTAATATTTACTTGTCAATAAAGTCTTCTGAAACACCAAAAGCATTTGCCATGCTTTCCATAGTAAGCGAACGATATGATTCTAAAAGTTGTGCATATGCAATTATTCGCATTTCACGTACGTAATACCGAAGATGTGAGAATAAATATCTTGATGTACGAAGGTGACTTCGTTCAACGTCAGCTGTTATTCAAATATATATATAATTTATATTAAATTTTTTTGTACTTTTTTTGACTTGCTTGATTATTGTAATATGTTAAAATTTATGTTTACCAAGGGCCTGAAAGAATTTTGCATATTCACAATTATAAAGTGAATTGATAAAATCTTTTAAATATGGAATCTCGTCTAATACTTCCAATACTTCTGGTGCATCAATAACCTAAGAATAATTATTATTATTAATTAATTTTATATTAATATGTAAATGCCAATTTTTACAATTTGAACAAAAAAACATACCTTTTTTTTTAAATCAACTCGACTAAGAGAAATAATTCCTGCTAAAACTGAATATTTTACAAAATCTTTATATTCCATTAATTCAGTTGACATAAAGGTTGAAAGTGTATCAAGAAATAAATTTGCTGCTGTTTTAAAATCACGTATTGATAATCGATATATGCCTTCATAAACTTTAAGGCGATTACGTCGATCCCAATCACCACCTTCTTCGATCATACTATAAATGATATTGTTTTATTTTTTTGAAATATGAAAAAAAATATATATTTAATATTTTGATATTTTGATTTAATTAACGCGTAACATCTTATTTATTACCTTCTTGCTTTTTCAATAGTACGACTAATAAGGTCATTATCATTAAAAAAGAATCCAATCCTTACAAATGAAAAGATTATATCAATTCGAGAACCTAATCCTGCAGTTTTCTCTAATGCAACTCGATATGCCGCTAATGCTTTTTCCTATATTCGAAAGGTAATAAATATCAAATGTTTTCATTAAAAAAAATGGATCAAATAATAATCTTACTTACTTTATCCCCAATTTTAGCAAAGTAATCGGCTTTGGCTAATAATGCATCGCTTATTTCTGTTTCACCAAGATTTTTTTCGGCATCTTCCAGTCGCTCTTCTAATTTTTGTAACTCTTCTTTATTGGCATCTTGATATTTGGTTAACAAGGTTTTGTTTAACGTAATCTTGAGTTCTTCAGTTACAAGTTGGTAAAATGGCGCCATATCTAAAATTATTTATTTAATATAAAGTCATGCATTAAAGTAAAAACTAACTAATAAAGATTTAACCTTTATTAACCTAATACAAGTAAAGAACTTACTGTTTTCATCAATTATATCAAACAACTTTGTTTTAACTTCTTCATGTTGTTCTGGAGTTTTGGGATTATTCAAAATGAACCGGTAATGCGCGAGTTCAAGGTTAGGTAATTTGGCAATTGAGTTGTCTGACATTTTGATGGTTTAATTGAAAAAGGATAACGATAAAGTTAAAAAAAGATTTTATACATTTTTACTAGCCAATCATAATTAGGATTTCTCGGAGTTATCGTTATGTGAGATCATAATCATGTGAATTATGCACCCAGAAATTCTCCCCCCTAGTGATAGAATTGTAGCCAATCAAAAGTTTCATATATATCTTATATGTAGACGTGATATAACCGCTAACCTTATCCCCTCTCCTCTAAAATTTCGTAATAAACGGCACTTCCCTTAACGAGTGGGTCATGATTTCATTAGTAAAACTTTTAGTGAAATTAGTTAATTCCGACCCTGCCGATCATTATTCCGAGGCATTCCTACGACCGGGGTAAAACCTTCACTCAAAAACGTTTACGTTACTAAAAATTCATGTAACTTAACAAAAAAAAATGACTAACAAAAATTTAGACTAACAAAATAATAATGATAAGTATCATTTTATTTATTTCGAATAACTCAATAAACGTAATATTTATTAAAGCCAGAAAGTATTATGCAATGGCATAAAGTTTTTATTAATACTATCGAACCATTTATTACTATTTGGATTCATTATGTTTTTCTTCAATAAAATTTTTTTTTTTTTGTTGCATCCTGAATTCAAATAAATAATCAGTTAAAATTTTTCGGAAGAGCAGTAAAAATAACATCTAAAAGGTTTTTCTTGTAATTTGCATTTTCTTGATTAGTTTTCTCGATTTTAATTTTTTTTTCGTTTATTATTGTTAATGTGAAATTTGGTTACGGCAAATTAACATATGTTTTTAGAATGGGGTCCAATTTTGATACCCCCCACATTTGATAAGCATAGCGGGCTTTCGCTATGATTGGCTAATTTGTGTAGATCATTTTTTTGTCGTGACTAGGATTTTATCCAATCAGAGGTGGCGTTGATCATTAAGAGAAGATATGATTTAACGATTACAAAATACTTAATTTTTATTAAAAAAAAATAAAATAAATTGAGATGCTAAACTGCAATTTTATTACATTTTTTTATTTTTTATTTATTAGTTATAGTAGTAAAAAATTAAAATAAATATCAAAGTTCAATATTAATAAATTATTTTATATTGTTCTAAAATTATTCATAGTCATATTATAAAACTGATTAATATTACTATTTATAATTACATTGTTAACCTCAACAGTACTTGTATTTTTCTTAGTAGTTTCTATAGTATTTTGTTTACTTTCACTTTTAACCATAACTTTAATCGAATTTATAGTATTGTTAAAACTTTAGCAGTTTCTTTTAATTCTATTTACAAAGTAGTTTATATAATATTTGCATTAACTTCCCAACCTAAATAATAAACATTCAAAGTGATAAGCATTCAAAGTGATAAGCATGATTACAATTAAGTATAAATCCTACCTTACATGTTCTTGTACAGTTGTCCAAGTTGCAATACTTATCATTTCATAGAAAATAAATCATACTCCAAGCTATTGGTAAGACTTTAATATTAATATTATTTTCTAATATTGAAAATTCATATTTCAAATTTTTTGAAATAGACTAACTTATATTTTTATAAACATTAGTAAAAAAGTTTAATAAAAATACTGCAGATCTTTTTTCAAAAAACTCTAGTTACTTTACTATATATCTGATACTATGATTATTAAAGAAGATTTTTACAAAAGTATTATTATTATATATTAGATTTATTATTTGTGTTTTTTGAATGATTTGATCTGCTATATTGGATGTTTGTACCTAATGTCTAATTGAACTATGAAAATTTTCTATATAATAATTATTAATGATATAAAAAGAACCAGGAACCCAAGTTATTACAATAGTAATAAACTTATTAATAATGTGGTATAGTAAGACTAGGAAACATTACTGATAATATATATAGCAATTAAATATGTAAATCTGTAGGTTTCAAACATTAAAGTTAATAAAGAAAATTTGAGCACCACATGTGTCCTACAATGTAATGCATCAGAGATAGTTAAAAAAAAAAGATATGAAAAAAATTAATCAGTATCTATAAGATAAAATAATTAATACTATCTTAATAAAACATATTATTTAAAAAAGCTAGTAGTAACTTGTTATAACTTTTTTTTGGTATCAATAAAAAATATATCAAATATAAAACATTATTTTTTGATAAACTAGTCAATTTCTATTATGAAATAAAACAGAATAAAAATCCAAAACTAACAAAATATTGTTATTGAGAAGGTTAATCAGATATTTGGTTTTGAGATCTTTTAACTACTTAAACTTTTGTAAAATAATTAAATAAATTTAAAACCAATCTTTAAATACTAATTTTAATAAGAGATTTCATTTTGTAAGGCTTTGGCTTTTTAGCCAATATTTTTTTGCTTCTATAAATATCATGAAAAAACTTATTAAAAAAAATAAAATTAATAAGAAACATAGATTCATAACTATTTAAGAATATGTATAAAGGCCCAATCATTGATACAATATAAAGAGCCTGCTCTGGTATAACAGAAGAATTTCCAAGTTTAATTCTATGAACAACAGCATGTTATACATTTAGCTGTCTAGAGTAATCTATATATACAACTACAATTTGATTCTCCAAATATAATTTTGTCTTATCAATATCAGTTAAGTTTTGAAAAACATTTGTATAATGCTCTATTATACTAAGTTAATCTACTTTTAGTCCAACAAGTTTAGTTTTACCTATACTCTAGTCTTCTTTAGTTGTTCAATTCTATTATCATAACTGTGAACTAAAAGATTTTCAACCTATTTCTTATATGTTTTAAATATAAAAACTGAATCAATAAATGTCAATCTTCACACTATATAACTATGCAATAAATGAAAAAAAATATATATTAGTATTATCAATAATAAGTTTTGCATTAATACCTCTTTTATTATAAATGTTTTTATCCCAAATATTCAGAATTAATGCTATATCTAATAGGGCTTTAAGCAATATAGTGACAAAATAAAGAATTGTATATATTGTAGTTATATTGCTATGGCAATACTCATATATATTATAAAAATTATTGATGTTAAGCATAATTAACTTTTTATCCTAATAAAATTTATGTTAATTAATTGAAATTAAAAAAAAATTATTTATGCCTAATGTTTATATTATTTGATAGAAAACTTCTTATTGTCATCACTTATATTTTTGCATATTGAGTTTTCTGTTATACAATTATTTTATACTGTATTACCAAGCTAGCATCAGCTAAGATTTTTATTACTAATAATAACATTCCAGATGCATCTAATAAATATCCAACTTCTGCTTTAATTTCATTAATAAACTTATTATTAAGATCAGCTAAAAAATAACAAAAACAAATAAGTCTTTTTTTATTTTTTTCATTAGTCATATTATTTTTTGCTTTTGAATTAGTTTTGACAACCAATTGGTCAAAAAAACTCTTTTAATGGCTCAGTTTCCTCAAGCATTTTCTTGAATTTATTAGAATTGAAAATAGATTTTTCATTATACATATACTGTTTTGTGCATAAAATTTCTGCTATTAGTTTAATCTTCTTATTAAAAGAATTGATTCTAAAAAAAAATCAAAATTATAATAAAATTAGAAATTAAGAATATAATAATAAATAAAACTAATTATTTGCTTAGTTTTGCTTTGTCAAGCTTTGCACAAACTTTATAATATGCAGACTTTAGCTCCTAAAATTTAAATTCAAAATAAATAACATTGCCTTACAAAATATATAATCTACTTTGAAATTTTTTTATGTTTTTTCTTGAAATTCTTTTAGATGCTGGTAAATAATTAGGCAAGTTAATATATTCTATATTATCATCAGTCTTGTATAAGCAATGACAACACATTATTACTTTTTCTAATAGCTTAAAGAATTTGATCAGCCATTCTGAAATCTTTTTGAATGTTGCTATCTTATATCAAGCTGTAGGAATATAAAAATCATGTTTTGAATATGAGTATATGTTAGTTTTTTTAACTTTAACATTTACCAAAAGCTTGTTATAATGTTTTTGGTATAGAGTTTTGCTAACCAAGTTTAGATGTTGACTTGAGCTTGGTATTTTTATTTTGTTAGTTACAATAATTGCATTTTTTTCTTTATAATTGCAGGTAAAATCTTCTTTTTGGCCTTTTAGATCACAATATTAAACCTTTCTTTTTTTTTTTGCTAGTTGGTAACTTTGTAGTTTTGTGTAAACATTTTGTTTTTACTTTTAAATTTTGTAATAAGATGCTTATTGTAAAAGAAATAACATAAAATGCTTCTTAGCTAAGTACTATTTTACCTTATAGATTACTGTTTTATTTTGATACTTAATAAAATAAAGAACATATTTTAAGATTTTCTATATCACAACCTTTGTCAATTCATACTTGTAACAGCCAATTCATTTTTGTACTATAAAACATTGCACTAATATGTCTTTAATATTGTGTAATATTTAGGGTATAGCAACTTAGTAAAGTAGTTAAGTTGTCAACCCTCCAAGTGGTAGATTAGAAGTTCAAAACCTACTGACAGTAGAAATTTAGAAAACCACCTATGTTATATCAGTATTACAGAAAGTAAGTGGTATTATGACAATAGCATTCTGTTGATTAGTTGGGATCAGTACTTGTAACATGGTCATATCAGATAACTGGAAGGTTATAGGGCATCTGTGCAATGTTGGAGTTACATGAAGAAATGCAAACTAGCATCAGGCAGTGCAAACCCAAGATAAGTTCTCATGATTATGTAAATTTGTAAACTGTGAAACCAGAGCCTACTTGGGAAGACCTGAGTAGAAAAGTAGCACAGATCTTTGAGAAATACCACCAATCAGGCTACTGGAAGTTTCAAACCAGAAGAAAAGAATCTTAAAAGGCAGACCCTAGAGTATTAGAGACAGGTCATAGTCCTACTGGACTATCTGGATTAGAAGTTTGAGGTTGGAAACAGGAGTGTACTATAAGTACTAGGAATATGTTATGAAGTTGGT